ATTTTTAGTCTTTATTTTACAGTTAAAATATATGCTTATCAAATAACTAATCGGGGGTCCCTTTAATTTTTTTTTTTTTTTTTTTTTTTTTTAATGGTCAAGTTTTTGAACAGGCAGTGTTCATAAATCAGTTTGACAGTGACTGTGCAGGCAAGAATAAAGGCCTAGACGGCCTCTCATATACAGTACATGCATCTCACTGAGCACACAGCAGCGCCTTACATACATAAATAAAACCCGCAGATGACACCGGCTAGCGAAAGCTTTTTAGTGAGTACAAGAGCGCATAGAAACGTGAACGCAGTCTTGTGCTCGGGGGAATTTCCCATCCACGTGTCTAACCGAGAAGGCGGGACGTGGACATAAACAAAGGCAGCCATTGGTCGCAGCTCCAGAACGTAAATCACCCTGTGTTTACTAGCTTTCAGCATCACGCCCCGCCCACCCGCGCAGCGCTGTCTGCATGAAATGGGCTCGTAGCAGTTTYCCCCTCAGTATGGAAGTAGTCGTGGAGGTGGAAGGGACTAAACTCTCTTGACTTGGCGGGATACTGAAGTCGCTGTGGCACCGTCGTAACAAAGGCCACCTGTCAGGTAAGGAAATATGTTTTAATTCTTGTTCAGCTACGCTTTATATCAACTGGTCATCGTCCAGAGGAAGAAGCAACAAACAAACAAAGTGAGCGCAGTAGTTGTCGAAATACAAAACTGGTTTTGACACATGCCATTTATTCTGAAACTTCGAAGGATTTTTATTTTAATCAGATTTCAGTTTAATGGAGCCTGTCATTCGCTAAACAGCGACGGTTTGAAATGTAGCTGCCGGCTTTTCCCGGCAGCAGCTCCGCCGGTGAAAGCGTCTCTGTCATGTGTTTGTTACAATGTTATGACACAGTAATAAACACATGCAAGCGTTTCATTGTACATTKTCACCAAATATATGTTCATAAATATGCATAAATTGGATTTTGCCTTTTTTACTTGACTTTAAATCTTTTTTGTTCTTCCTTTTTAAAACATAAATGTGGTCTTTGAGCTCATCTTTCTGATAAACAAGAGCTGTATCGTGAGATTCATTCACCTTATCAGTTTTGTCAGGGTCTTCGTGCGTGCATTGTCACACAAAGTTTAAATGAGGTCCATTAACCCCCCATTTTTTCCCTGGTCTATATTGGGGTTATTGAGTCAGCAGCAGGGGGAGCCACTGTCTGACCCAAACAACCAGCTGCTCACTGGAGTAAAGCACCACTGGATCTAGGAGTGTTTTTTTTTTTTTTTTCTTACTAAGCCCGTGGTCTCACCCTGTGTTTTTCAAAACAAAGCATTAAACTGTGAGGTCTGCTCATGCAACATACATGCCAGCCTGCTTCTGCCCGGTGGAGAGCTGAGAACCCCTTCTTGGGGATCTGCTAGAAAAAGGTCAGGGAGAGAGKGATTCAGGATTTTCTTCAAGGACTGTCATTACACTTTTTTTTGTTTTTGCTGTGGACCCTAATTTGGAAGTGTGGTGGTGTAACCCTGTAGAATGGTGAACTGTGGTTTTTACTAGAGAGGCAACTTGAAATTCAGACATATTTTGATAACTTTCTGACCCACTGTAAGACTCAGGGTTGAGTGCAGTGTGTAATTTATGATCTGGGTTCTTTTGAATGTTTGCCTCATTGTGGTAAGACTGATGGTAGAATTGCCAGTATGTAAAAACTTTAGATATTTAGGCTGTGAATCGATAAAAGGTGAAAAAAAAAACTTTAGTTAATATAACCAGCGGACAATAGTTTAGGAAGCTCAAACATGAGGAAAAGTTGCTTTTTGTTCAAACAAACTTCCTTTTATGCAATTGTGCTTCGACTGAGTCGTGTAACAGCAGTGAATTGTGAGGTTACATCAGTGAGCTGCTTGTTTAAATTACCACAGAAATATTTGTCACAAATACAGTAAAAGCAGAACATTTGCCTTTTCTTCTTCCCTGCTCATCCATTGTGGTTTTATTGATTTGTGAGGGCTTCATAGAGATAATGTGTGAGCTCATTTCAACAACTCTATTGCAAATTAGTTTAAAGAATCGAGAAGTGTTCACGGGTTGACAGTAATTCTGTATCTTTTCATTTTCAAGGCTGTTCATCCCATAGCTCCCCCCGTATGGACGATGAGGAGGACGATGTGTTTGAGCCGGATCCTAACTGCTGGCGCTCGACTTTCAGGGAGATAAAGTGCAAAGACCGGGGCACGCAGACGCCCGGCCCTGCCCTGGTACCACACAGCGGCATGCTGCCCTGTGGAGTCGCGGAGGAACCCAGACCACTATTCTACGGTGAGGCTGACGGCGTGCTGTGATTCAGAAGAGAAAAAGGGAACGTAGCCTTACGTGCGACAGCCGGCGTTATAAAAACAGAACCATAACGTGAGAGTTGCTGTGAGAACTGTGAAACAATATTGCTGCACAGAGCTCACCCCTGGCGCCTGGTAGTCGTCCTCACAGTCACTTTTATGATCTGTATGCAGTGTACCCAGCTGCTTTGCCGTTCAAACGGCGCCAGACTGGCAATGTGACTGAAATGATGTGACAGCAGTGCTCACCTGTGCAACTCAGAGAGCCAGTTATCAGTGACAGCCAAGTTACACTTGCGTCATACCAAAGTAATCACTCCAAAGTCGCTTCATAACAACTCACTGACCTTGACGTGACCCAGTCTGGGTTATGTGRGTTTGTTTACCGTGCGAGTGACTTATAAAAATTATTGTGTGTAATAAAACAACAGCGAACAACGTGGCACTCAGCAGTCTTTTCAGAGCTTTGTTTTCCTAGTTTTAAATCAACCTGTCTGGTGTCTGTTGTGTTTAAGTTGTCCAGCTGTTGTTTACAAGCTAATAAGTGTCAGCCTTAACATTTAACAGGTAACGCAGGTTTTCGATTGCACTTCCCGGCACGCTTCAAACTCGTCGGGGACCTYGAGGCGAGGCAACAAGACAGGGAAGAGGAGCCAAACGGGATGGAGCAGCTGCCCCGGCAGCTGCCCGTGGCGTGCAGCATGGAAGTTTGCATCGGACAGAAACTCCAGCTGATMGGAGACCAGTTTCACCGGGAACACTTACAACAGGTGAGGAGGAACAAAGCTGACTGTGCAAACCCACAACACATTCCTTGGGTGTTTGATGGCTGCAAACAAGTACGACTYACAAACGACACCACAGCTGTGTGCTATGTAATACGCTCCTGTTAGTGCCCCCACACAAACTATTGATTACTCTGACAGCTTTCCCATATTTGAATAACGGATTATTCCATGTACTTTTCACCAGGCAAATCTCTCTGGATTAGATGGGATACATGCTGTGCCAGCAAAATAAAATGCAAAGTTACRTCTGTGTGGACGCCACATTTAGAGGAAACAAACCTTCAACTTGGTGATAAAAGAATTAAAAAAAAACAGACGTGAGAAGTTGGAAGTGTTCTCTTTTTTTGTTTCCTTTGACTGAGTTAAGTAAAATAAGTCTGCTGCCATGAAGTCACACGTGTCTTCTTATGTGTAAGAATGTCAAATAGGTAGGATCTCATGACASTTGAATGTGTACGAAATGCGAAACAACTTAAACCAGACTATCTACACTCTTCAATATGAAGACCCCCTGTTTACTGGACAGAGAATAATGAAGGGTCAAACATTTGTTCTTTTTTCATTGTGTTTGCTCCATGTTTGTCTTGGAGAGGCTGTGCACATGCACAACTTAAGCCCCGCGTCCAACCCCCTCCATCTCTTTTCCTTCTACCCAAAGACACTGCAGATTTAGGAGAGCCCTTCCCCCACCTGCCCGCCAACCCCAGGCCCTTCCCCTGCCTCCTCTTCCTGTTTATTTCTCTCCTTTCCCCTGTTTCCTCAGTGTTTTGTGGAGACATGTGGCATGGAGGATCCCTGGTCTCAAACAGCACACTGTGGTTAGGGCCACACTGGGTTTTTTTTTTTTTTTTGTCTTTGATTTTAAAACATACAGAAACTATTTGAAGAGTTTATTTGAAGTGTAGGCCTTACATACATTTTCAGTCAAACATTCACTTTTATTTCTAAAGCGTACATTAAAAAGCAGAAGTTGCAGCAGTAGGTAAACATGTTGTAACCCGAAGCTCGGCGCTTGAGCCCAGAGGGGAGCAGCTGTGGTTCCAGGGAGTCTTCACTCAGCAAGAAGCAGCCACAGGAGGCTCCCAGATAAGAGGTCTACAAACCRCAGACGTTTTGATTCGAGGGCCAAGACCATAATGATGTATAGGAGGAGTGGAGGTTTGAAAATCACACCTCAAATAATCAAGTAGACGTCCTGAAAGGGTCCCTCCCTGTCACAGATACGACGTGACTCACATTTTTAACTCCAGACTTTGAAGTGCGAGACAGTTTTCTGTTTTCTCATGGGTTTTATCAACCAGGTGTTATTTATACGCGAGCTGAAAATATGACTCATGTACATCGGCGGGACTCACAGACACTTAMACAGGGAGACAGTAGGTTTGCTGTGAATCGCAACTACGGCCAGGATGTTCTGACGCACAACTGAGGCCGGACTGGGTCAGGGGATAGAGGAAGTGGCTTGTGCTCTCATGCTGGGTTAGTAAACAACAGCGAGGACAGTCATAGTGAAAACGGTGCCATGTAGTCACATCCTGCATAGATATACATAGCGGGACAGAATATTGATGAGGAGAATTATTCTTTTTTCACATTGTCAGTAACTGTATAATTGTTTTTGTGTCTGTTTTTTATGTTGAGTTTAAAATAGCACCTTTTTTTGCAGCCTTTGTGATGACTATTCCTGGCATTAGTTGTGCACTTCATTGTATTGTGTGTATACATGCACATGCTCATGCATGATTACACCCATACTTGTTTTCTCTGCCTTTTGCTGTCTATCACCTCTCACTATGTCGCTGCCTGACGATCACTGCAGCAACTTTTACGTGATAACGGTGTTCGTTCTCCTTCCYGCCTCTCCTGACAGCAGCCGATTTATGAGGGAATTATTGAGCGCAGACGCTGGTCCCTGAGCAATTCAAGGGCTTTTGATTGCCATTCTATTGATGGATTTTTTTTTTTTTTTTGAGCGGTGTGGCTGCAAGTGTTCTCCTTGGGAGCTCGTCGCTCCCGGCAAAAGGAGGGATTAGGCAGCGCAGGAGTGCTGGTGGATGCTGACAGATAAATTGCTCCTCTGTCAGAGAGGGGGCTGGAGGGGACTCGGAGGTCCCGAGAGGACGGCTGACATTAGCTTCTCTGCCATTTGAGACACGGCGGTAATGACAGTCACAATGGCAGGAAGACCGCTCCAGCCTGTGCAGGGCAAGGAGCAGAGTTAAGGTTTCATCTGCCATGTTTTTTTAAGAGAGACGACTCCTGGTGCTTTCAATAGGAGGTGTTGAAAGCGGGGTTGAATATCCAGTGTGGCTGTTCGTGTGTGTGTGTGTGTGTGTGTGTGTGTGTGTGTGTGTGTGTGTGTGTGTGTGTGGCTGTGAGGGTGCATTTGCACGTATGTCTGTGGCTTTATCTCTTTGCTGTTTAAGTGAGGCCATGGCAGCCTCTCCTTTCAGCACTCGTAGAAAGGTGGGGGAGGGAGTGGGGGGCTTGAATGGAGTAAACACAAATGATATTTACTTTCCATTTATTAATCTGTGATGATTTGTTTTGGTGGGGATGTCAATATGCGTCATAGCTCTGTCAAAGGTTTTTTTTTTGCGTGTTTGCATTTTTGCTTGACCTTTCTCTTTCTGCTGATACAACTAATCCAGAGTTTCTTGTCATAGAAGGCTGGCCTGTTTGCTCAAGCGATAAGGCCGAGCTTCTGAGCAGCTGGCTTGACAGACAGTCTGTACTGGACACTGATAAAGCACATCAACCTAGTGTCAAAGTGACGACACACAGAGAATCTGGCTAGACTCTAGTGCACTGTCGTCAGCTAAATTTAGAGCCTGTTTTCTTGTGACGGTTGGAGGCGTGACTCATGATTCTGTTGCGACAGGTCTGTGGACTCCACTTGTTGTCACTCTTACGCTCCGTATGTGAAAGCTGCTGAACTTGACAGAACCAAATGCAGAAGTTCACGAGAGCGTTCGGTTTTTCACTAGAGAGGCTACTCGTGTGAATGTAAATAATGTAAATACAAACTCTGCATGAGAAATCCCTCAGCTGACTCATTCTACATCTGCAGCCTTTTGCTCTCTATTGTTTCACTTCTACATAGACTTTCAATATCCACTTCAAATAAAAATCCAGTTTCGTGTTTTTCAGCTTTTTTTCTCTCGACTAATCTTATATATCTTAGTTTTAAAACAGTAACTCAGAGGGTTTTACTGGCAGGAGCTTGCACTGCGGTCATCCACACTTTACATAGATATTTCCCTGTTTTTCTCTCCTTATCAAATTATCCCCAGGCAAAATGTACAGTAGATCTCATAGGAGTCTTTGCTATAATCTTGTACCTTTTCTTTATTGAAGTATTTTCAAACTCTCTAGCACAAGAAAGAATAAACCAAAGGAAAGTGAGATTAACTCATGCTCGCTGGAACCTGGCAAAGCTTATGCAACACCATGCAACGTTCAGTTCACCATTGAGCTGATAAGAAAATACAAACCCACACTCTTATCACAGTGGCAGWTCTGGGCTCTTTACTAGGTCAGGGTTTGGACATCATGTTAAGACATGTAAATGCTGTTAATCTTATCTTGGCCTGTGGATGTTTTGAAGCTTATAAATGTACATTGTTAAGTAGTGGGGAGTTCTCAGGCATCATTTTGGAAAAAAACGTTTGGTTTTTCTGCGCGTATGAACTGAAAATAGCCTCAGCACTATCAGGCGTGGTGGAGCCTGTCTTTCGTCTGCAGATGAGCTGTTGGGCTGTGGTTACCCTCTCATGCAGATACATTTTTTATTATTCCAGAGACTCTCCACCCCTCATCAAGAGCCCCATAATCCCATTTAGTGCAATTATCTTATCTCAGGTTCTCAATGACTGAGATAGCATTATCCCCCTAATCGCACACAATCCAATTGGCTTGCAAACCTGAGAGTGTCTCGTTCTCAGCTGCTGGCTGCTGGTCTCTGCCAGAAAGATTACGGCTGCATTATGAATGTGTTTATGGTTATGAATGTCTGTTGGGAAGCCTGTGTTGGGATCCCACACGAAAACAGAGCACTGTCTAAAAAGTGTTGTTAAGGACAAAAGCAGACTGTTGTGAAAATATCAGCGTCGTTCCAGCGTCTGGTTCTGTCTCCCTAGTTGACCTTTTACCCGGTTCCTCCGGTCGCTCATCACAGCYGGCATAAAGCAAATCTCACAATGAAAAACCAAAACTAATATCTTATATCGCAGTTTTAGGTTTGTGTTTCTACAGTGCTTTAACGTGTGGTGTTTTCATCTTTACTTGTTGTTTCAGTATCATCAAAACCAAAGGAACCAGGGGCCGCTGTGGTGGCGCCTGACTGCAGCTCTCCTCAGCCTTCTGTTTGATAGAGGGCTCATGGCTGGAGGAGGGGTCGCAGGACGGAGGTGAGGGGGGAATCTTCCCCTCCCGTTCCTTGTCTTCATCTCGGTGAGAAACTGGACTCATATTCGCACTGTCAAATCTAACACGGGTCTGTTTGGGAGAGGAGACAAAAAAAGGTCGCCGCGGGACGGCGACAACCAACGTTTATACAAGGTCACATGTTTGTTTTTTTTTTCTGAGAAGATGCCATGATGTTCCGAGATTCTTCTAAAGGACAATGTTCATATTTTGGCCCGCATGTGGTGTAGTAGCTTTGTACAGTACATTGTGTTCACTTTTTTGCACTTCAAAATGTATCCTTGTCAAATGACCTCTGCAGACCCTGGGAATGCCTTATTCAGTGTCTTTTGCCAGAAGGAGAATTGGAACATTTCTGACAGGCAGGATGAGACGGTTAGGAAATGTGGTGCRACTGTTTCTTTTCAGAAGTCTCCCAGGTGACCAGTCAAGTTGATTTACTAATTTCCAAAGAGGCCACGTCTCAGAACAAAACATTTTGCACCTCACCTCTATGGAACATTCGTTCTTTAAATTGTTATTATTTCTTACATTTTTTGTTTGTTTTTCTTTCCTCTGTTTTCTTTATTTCAAGGTTAAGTTTGACCCTTAGTATATTTTAGAATATTGGGAATGAGGACAATTTTCTGTACATAGAAAGCTTGGCACACTGTGAAATGTCATCTAAATATATTTTTTAATATGCACAAATGTTGAAAGGCAGGACTGTTTTTTAGTCGTGTGCTATGTATCAAACATTTGGGACTTTTTTTTTCTTTGAAGTATGGGGAGGAGCTGGCAGTCATCGTCTGGTCTAACAAGCCTGGTTACTGCCAGCAAACCTGACAAACATCAAAACAAGAATTGAAAGAAAAAAAAAATCAAGCCATGTCTGCACTTTGTTGTTACACAAACTGACAAGATTACTAAGCAATGACAAACAATCCAGTTATAGATTAGATCAGTAGAACAGTAAACCCATAAATCATAAAAAGAAATGCTGCAGTGTCAAGCAAATAATTAAACAAATAAATTCAGTTAGCAGTTTTTGTTATGATTCAACTCAGGCTAAGTCATGATTTTAATTAAAGGTTTGCTGTCTTACTTGTTCAGGGTTTTTTTCTTTTATTATTGTGAGGTGCAGCTGTCATCCATCAAATTAATCTCATGTTTTTCATTAACAACTTCCTGTACTGCTAAATTTGATCTAAAATAACACAGTGAGAAGATTTTAATATCAAAATCTTTGGGTGTTAAATTTTGGATGCATACATAAAATGACTGAGGTTTAGCATCATGCACTAAATAAGAGCGAAAAATCAAGCAGTGAGCAGACTTTACCTAAAGTTAATAAAACTTTCTCATCAGCGTTTCCCTTTAAATGTTTAATCATATTCTGTGGATTTTTATTTTCATAGATAATCAGTTTCTAGTTTAGCCTCTTGCCCAATGCCTGAGATTATAGTTCTATTTTTTAGGTGTTTCTTTTTTTTTCATGTGATTGTTTTCAGACCTCCATGCCCTTCAAGTGGAACTTTGGATCCACTGTTTTTGCACTAAACTTCCACCATCCTTCAAGAGTTCAGATTGTTACCAAACTAATCTCTGTCTTGTATGAAGGTTTCCTTGCCGCAGCATTTCACTCCTTTTTTTTCCTCCCCCCACCAAGACAAATAATCAGTATTAAGGCCTGACTGAGCACGGTCTGGGTTTGAAATCACTTCTGGAAATTTCACTAACCAGTGTTTCAGGCTGAAGAAGAGAACGAGTTGAAGTCACGTCCCTTAATTCAAATAATATTTTTTTGTGGGTTGTTTCTCACAGCAGGACAGATCTGAACACCAAACAATATGAAGTAAACAATCTGTGAAACAGAATCTCCTGCTTTTACGATACCCATCTGTTTTTTTTTTTTTTATTATTATTTTTGGGTGATCTTATATTCTCTCTAGTGCTTAGGTTCAGATTTGGGACAGCACACACAACCACCACTGGCTCAGAGAAACAGTCTGAAACAAAAGTATAAAAGACTGTAATTACTGTTGAAATATGAATATGTTTAAATACACTGTTGAAGATGCTGTTTTTTGTTTTGTTTTGTTTTTTTGGGGGGGTGGGGGATGGGGCTTTCTTTTGGACCCAAGGAGCAGTACATATCAGGGGTCTGTAATTACTTGCTCCTTACAGTGTATCAAGTTCATCACTGCTTAATTAGGGTTTTCTTTCATTTTCTCTTAAGGTGTCTCAGGGACAGACTTTTTGGGCTACTGGTAACCTTGAGAATCTGTTACACAGTTAGATGTAAAGCAGTGTTGTCACCTTTTCTTTCCTTTCACTTGCAAATCTTCAAGGCCAATTTCTAGCACACACGTATTGGTGCATGTTTGGGGAGTCTGAGGCTGACGTGCCGGCTGTGGTGGTGACAGGGGCTACGGGGTTTGCAGTCAGAGGCGCGTGAGGTGCGCTGAATGTGGTTGTGGTAATAGTTTCCTGCGGATCCTGAACGCTGAGCCAGTCCCTGTAGCACCTCGTCTCACCAGTGGCGCTTGACGTCCTCTTCTAGCCGCTCCTCCAAGACATGGCTTTTACTCATTATCTTACTTTGTTTTAATTTATTTTTTTCTGCTTTTTTAATTTATTTTTGTATACTTACCTGTTTCTACTGTATACGATTGTGTGTGCAATCACCTCTTCCCTTTTTTTAATGTTTCGGTCTTGGACTTTTACTCGGGCTGGTTGTCTTTGCAGAGCAAGTTGGCTGTCATTGTGCCTGAACATTTTGTATCTCTTATTTCTCCTGCAGAAGAAGGGCTGTCTGAAATGATGCTACAAATAATTTCAGCTGTGGGAAATTTCAACCACTAACTGCAATCTCTGCACAAACCCTCTGCTTCTGGCCAGAGCATAAACTTGTTACTATTTGAATTCATTGTTGCCATTGGGTGGAGTACTCACTCCAAAAGGTTGAGATGTTTGTAGGAATGGGCCAACTAGTGTAGGTCGTTTTTTTATTATCATTTTCAGCCTCTTAATTTACCAGATTCCCAATATGTGTTTTTATAAATGCAGTAGCTTAAATGCAATTCAAACTTTCAACTGAATAGGACCTGATCATTGATCAAACCCACCTCTAAAGACACACAGGACTGACAAAAGGCATTTTTGCACTGAAAAGCCCGACCCAGGCCAGCTTGGCTTCAAACTCAGGTTCAGCATGTTTGCATTAACCCTTAAGGCCCAGTTCCACCCCGATTTCTGTAACCCTGAGACCCCTGGTTCTATCTAGGCCAGTCTGCTTGGCCCGATTAGACCTCAGCTACTGCTGCTTATTGGTGGATTCGCTGACCAGGGGCATTACGTCACAGATGAGAGTGACTTTACATGAATCAATTGCAGCGACTAACATTTTTTTTCACACGAGTTTAACTACACAACAGTAGCGAGCTATCAAACAACAAGAACCTAACATTAGCTACCATTATCTTACCGTTCCCCGTCGTCCTGCCCTCTTGTCTTAAACGCCACATTACTGGACGATTTGGTTCAATCTTTGGAACATTTCTTTGAAGTTTGTCGTTGTCCATTATTGTTGTGTCGCCAATTAAACAAAATAAGATTCACGTGCATTTAATATTCTGATCCCGCCCACATCGAGGCTACACTCTGCTCAATTCAACCAAGGTGGTTAGGCCAGGCCCACTAGAGCGGGGGAGCAGGCTGAGCCGGGCCTTACAATTCAAAAATGCCTAAAAAAAACAAAAACAAAATGGTTGCCTGATTAGTCTACACGAATCACAGAATGTTAGCTTGTTTTCTGTCCTTGATTTCTTAATCTGTTGTAATCAGTATGCACTGGAAAGTACTTTGTTTCTGTAAATCCCGTAGGGCTTTTATCTGTTGTGTGTTGATGTATAGCATATACTCTGAATTGTTCTCTTGGGCTAATCTTGCCACGTGTCAGCTGTATATCTGTGCATTGACTAAGAAGGTTCAGGTATGATGGCCTGTTGATTTATTGGAAAGGGAAACAAGCCACCACGGTGCTCTTTATGATATTGCTTAGCGTGAGGTACCTAATCTGCGCCCGTATTGTACGCGAGTCCAGCGTTCCAAGAGTGGAACAGGTACTTTATGGGAAYCATCAGTGTCTTGAATTTTATTGTCCACTTTATATATAAAATGAAAGTTGCTTTTTAAAAAAAATTTAAAAGATTTTGATCGTTGTTTTTTATTTTTACAATAACAGCTTTTTTTCTCTTTGTGGTCCTTTTTAACTTTAAACTGTATTTTCTTAAAAAAATGGTCTGTTTTTGTAAGGACAGTTCATGCTTGTAATGTAAACTTTAATACAAGTAGAATCCTTTTGAAGTCAATGAGAACAAAACAACTTGTTTTTTTAGATAGAAAATGGACTTGTAACATTCCTTGCACATTTTCCCATCATGAAATGAAAGCAGGCAAACCAAATAAAATCCACGGTTTGCTTGATTTGGCTAATAATTTTGTAGCTATCAAATACTTACTTACCTGTTTGTTTGTTTTGACACAACAGATGAAGTGTACATGTATTTTAAAAAAAAGAAAAACCCTGGAATATGCCTTTAACTGCTCAGTTTCAATGAAGTCTTGATTATCACACRCTCTCTGTATACCAAGAAATGAGACCCAGCAAAAATGTAGCATTTTTGTAAACATTGACTGTGTGTTTTCGAGACTCTACTGTGCACTCTATTTTTGTGTTCATGTATTATTGTTTTTTTTTTTTTCCTGGTTGTTAATATTCATATGGAAGTTAAGACAATTTGTTATGTAGTGCAATATGCTGTACATACAGAGCTTTACTCTACAAATCTTCTTTTTCCTGAATTTCTTGTTGTTTATTGGTACCCTTTTTTAAATAAAATTTTATTGACTATATTAAAATGAGTACAGCTTATTTTTGCACCTAGGGGGGCAGTGATACTTGAAATAAATGATTTCCCTCTCTTTCCTCCTGAGTTTGATGTTTTGGATGGTGCAACTAACTGATGGATTAGCCAAGTATCTGAAGCAAAGCAGGCGTTTGAAGCCAACCAGACACTTGGCAGAGACTGCRTTCATCATTTTCCCTCTGCTTTAAGGTCATTCATTTGGTGAAAGCAACAGGGTTTCTAAAACTTTAATAAATAACGTATGATGCGCACACAAGCAAGTGCTGCATGACAACTGAATGAGCCATTTTCCCTCCTACCCAGTCATTCCAGTAGAGCCTCAATGCTTTAAGAACATGGAAGAAACTGATCCCTTCTGACTGGGCCTGTCACAATATTCAATAAATCAAAAAATCGCACTCTGGCGTCAGGTATTTGCCAGGCTCATGGTCTYGTGACCTCTGTAGCATTTAAGCTTYGTGAACATCCATCTAGCTAGAGGAGCGACTTCGGTTTTCCCACATCTTTTAGCTGGCGATGCCTCGGGACAGCCTCAGACCAACGTGCCGAACTTTGCGTTCAGAGGTTGTTGTTTTTCACTACTTGAATTATGTAAACGTCTGTAAGCAGTGTGTGACCACAGTTATTTTAGGAAACCAGAGGTGAGAAGTGATTTTAAAGTTTCAGCAGTATGCCGTTTTCACAATCATATTAGTTTAAAATGGTCTCCAAACAATATTATCATTTATGGCGATAATTTCTGAGGCAATTTATCACCAAGCAGGCCTACTTCTGACTCGTGCAAATATTAAGGTTGTAGTTAATGTTACTGCTCTGTGTAGGGTGCRTTGGTTAATATTCAGAGACTTTCTTTTCGTTCTTACGCAACACCTACTTTGACAGCCGTCCAAGATGAAAGTTTCTGCCCTTAAGATAATAATCGCACTCAGGAGTTTGGTGCCTTTTTGTTTTCAACAGAGCAGACACCGTACAGACTCCTTCCTCGAGGCTGACGCGTGCCACTTGCATTGTTTAGCACGCCAGGTACAGTTTCATGCTTCATCTACACCTGGCTCACATATCCAACTGCTTACAGCAAAAATAATAACATAAAAACCAGTCTTTGGCCCCTCGACACATACACATGAGTGTGTGAAAGGATGTGGTTGATACAGAACAACTTCCATCCAAATCAGGTTTGGCTTAACAAGCACAGCTGCTGACTCTTCCCTCATTGCTTGTCTCTTAGGCTTTTTAAATTAAGAAATTTAGGTCTGAATAGGAGGTAATTAGTGGTGTTTTTTTCACATCAAGTCAAGTCATATAACAATCATGACCGTAGGCCGCAGAGTCATCTTTTCTGAGAAGCTTACTTATTTTGTTTTAGATATTATGACAAATGTGAACCTGAAGGCAGCAGTAACCCTCCCTGACTGTTTCTCTCAGATTTTGTGGCTCTCTCCTCCAGAATCAGCACTTAAATGGGGAGAGCTTTGGCTTTCCCTGCTGCAAACAATGGCTCTTCTGTTCCCCTCTCTTGGCCGCCTGCTGAAAGAGACACCCATTAGAGAAGCGTCTATCTCTGGGGTCAGGCCCAGGGGTCACGCACAAGTACGGCTCTTGTTTATGTCTGCAAAGCCAATCAAAACACTGCAGCCTCCTACTCGCCCGGCTTTCTAGTCCAGCGGAATAAAAAGCAGATTCTGGCTTGAGCTGGAGCCGCTGAGCGCATTGAATTCAACCTCCGCTCCGGAGCGTCTCCATTAATTAAAGAAAAAGTGATGTGTCACCTTGTGAGGCGAGTAGCTGCATGAGCCAGAGCAGAGATGCACGATGACTGACAGCACCTGCCTATCACCACAAGCCACAGGTACTTCCCTCCAGCCTCGAGACAGCATCAGAAAAAACAATCACAAGCACACCAAGTGCAGACTCACTCTTTTGTCAGGCATGATTGCAAAACTGAACTAAAACGGACTTTATGAGTGTTAAGCTACATTACTGAGCAGTGAATTACTCTGAGAGAAACATAAAAAAAACATCTAAATGTTTAATTGCATTAAACGAGCCTAATCTTTGAATATGAGTGTTGATTATAAAATTAAATGATGTCTCCTTCTCTAATGTTCTGCACAACACTGTCATTCAGAATGGGCTCTTCTGCAGCCTGTTGTTGCTGTAATCATGTCAGCAAAGTGCCGTTTCACAGAACTGCTGGCACGGCTGTAAACACACCTGTCCCGTTGATGATATCTATAGTTTTTGGCAACAAAAGTTTTACTTGATCTGAAAAGTCTGCCGCTTTCTTAAGGAAAACAACAATCTAAAGGCTAGGAGCTAAGTCCCAGCCAAAACAAAACTCACTTGTAAACCCATAGGTGATCCTTTTTTTTTTTCTTTTGTAGAAATGACTGCACAAAATATACTCTGAATATAATATGAAAAAAAAGAGGATTTACATTACACGAAAAAAAAAAAAGGACTGAAAGAAGAATGCACAGTCTTAGTCTTGGATGTGTTTGAACACTTTCCACTCTGCTTACAAGTTTTGCTCACATCTGGTACTTGCAGGCAGTTAGTTGTCATGGGAATAAGCAGCTAAACCAACATGGYTGCGTGTCTCTGTGCAGGCAAAGGGAGAATAAGGGTTCAGCTGGGCATGCCAGGGTGCAGCAGCTCAGCARCCATCCCCGTACCCCCCTGTCTCAGCTGCGGCTGCACACAGCTGTCCTACTTTTATGCTGGTGAAGAAAAAGTAAACTCTGCATCCCTGCCCCCACCTTCACGTCATCTCTGCCACTATATGAGCTGAAGGGAGCAGTTAATAACTCAATATTTAGTAGTTGTTTACCAAATGCAAAGAACCTGTTTTTCTATTTTCTGCATTTGAATCTTTTTTTTTTACTTTTAAAACTTGTAGGTTTTTTTCACTCTTTTCAACTTCTCCTTTTCAAATGATTTGCTTGAGTAGCTCTTTTCTTTCTTTCTCCGCTAAGAGAGAGGTTGGGCGAGCAACATGCTACACTCTTTGTTTACCAAGAGTAACCCAGCAGAGCGCAGAGCTTTGTTGAGCTGCAGTCACTCCCGGCCATCACAGCTGTGACACACACACACTCAAACACACACACGCACACACACGTGCACACACAAACAGAACAGAACAGAAATCTCTGACTCACAAAACTAGCAGTATCCTGTGGTCAAGGGGGAGGGGTTTAAACCCTCAGCATTGCTCATGAACCTGCTGAACTCGTCTTCTCCATCTCATGCTGCCTATTGTTCCCCAATTTTCGGACTTTTTTTTTCCTCACAAAATCTTCATACTTATCCACTACCATTTGGAGCCAATTAAAAGATACACCCCATAAACCTGCACGCAGCAGGCAGTAGTTTCTCCCCATGTGTTAAAATCCATGCACTTGGCATGTGGCTCAGAAAGGCAGAAGCCTAATTGTGGTGAGATGTCACTCAATAGAGCATAAACAAGCAGGGTCATTGCTGGGAACTAATTGGCAGGAAGAGGAATCCCGTAGAAAGATAAAAATGAGAAGTCACTGTGGTTGCCTCAGGATGCACGAGCAGCCCTCTGCGCTGGCAGGGCCTATGGTGAGCGGTAATGAGAAAAGAGCTCGCCTCAAGCCTCCTTTCCCAACACACAAGTAAGCAGAACCTCATACAGAGCCGGTGAAAACCCTCCGAGTCACAGAACTGGACGAGTTCAGCGAGTGTTTTTCTGTTTCCCCCAGCAGGTTGGCACCAGGCCAGGCAGGCGGCCTGACTTGTTAGCACACCTCACCTTGATAACAGGAGTGTGGACTGAAGGATGAGGCTATAAGGAAGAAAAACAACCCAGCACACTGGGGGTGGGGCTCTGGGACGGATTGTTTGTGTGGATTTGTAGGTTTCAGTGCGTGTGTCCACTCACGCAACCGCCCTCCTCCAAACAGTAACAACTGCAAAAACACTGGATCGAGTGTTAAACTCGGAGCACTTTTTCCGAGCTCAGGTTTCACAACACAGCACCAGCACCCCYCACTTTTCTCCTTTTCTTTTTGCTCTCTTACAACTCCCATCCCCCCACCTTCCCTAACTCTTCCCCTCTTGTTCCTAATCTCCTTGGCCCAGTTCTCCCGCTCCCCTTTACCTTCTAAATGTCTGCTGCAAACACAAAAACTCTCAAAAACTTTTCACCCTCTGCGTCCTCCCTTCCTCCAGCCATGTGTGCACACTTTGCTCGTCCTCCTCCTAACTCCTGCTGGCGGGACTTTCTGACTGACAGCGCCGATCCAGGTTTGGCAGCCGGCCAGCTCATCTCAAACAATCGCACGAGATAGAGTTTGCTGTCCGAGCCAAGTTTGGAGGGCAATAAACAAAGTCAGCAATCACGGCTCTTCAGTCTTCCCCTCCAGTTCAGCTCCGATCTTCATGATAAACTTAGTATATAGTTATAGTAGTGTTGCCATATGGTTTTTACATTGCTAAACTTCTCCAAGGGATKTGGCATTGCCACAAATTTAGCAAATAATCGCAAGCAACACACAGCTTTAGTTGTGATTTCAGTTTTATTTTCACTGCTTTTATTTGAGGACTGTCCAGACTGTGACAAAGACCTCAGTCCATCTTTTCACACAGAGCTGCCAGCTAACTGTCGCTGTCTGTCCACCGTGATTGGCCAACACGATCGCCCAAAGGACCAAATAAACTTCTGAACCCGTCCTTCTCAAAGAGAAGAGCTTCAGACATCTGGAATTGAGAACCACCATGGGACTGAAGCTCTGAGAGTGAAACCTGCTCCAATCGTCTCTTCTTTGGCTGCTCATTATTAACCTGTGGTCACCGCACGAATACCAAGGGAGGACATGAAAACCCTTTTTAAGATAAATAAAACAACAGATATGCAGAACCGCTCTAATAACTCTGGGAAAATGGGACGGTGGATATTCTGCGAAGGGATTATTATTATAATATATGTAATGAAGCCGTAATTATATTCGTATTTTCCAAAACAGCTTA